TGTGCTAGAGTAATTGAGCTATGATCCATGTTATAAACCGTTGGAATTGGTTTACTGTTAGTTGGCTTACCTAGCGGGTTGGGGGTAGGTGTCATCACGACTAGCTGGATTTTGGGTCGTGACAAGTTGGTATCAGAGCTCTAGGTTCATAGGTTCTACGAGTCATGAGCAAATGCCTTGTAAAGTCTTGCGGATTGGTATGATGACGTCTATACCTATCTTCGAGAGGCTAGAGGCATTTAAGATATACTTCCCATCTTTCTTACCTTATCGTGCGGCCTTGGTTTAGCTTGAAGTGTATCTCTTTGAATTTCTTCTACTAACTCGTATACGTACGTGATAGCTGGGTATCAGCTGTGCATCGACGGGTGATTCTATGGATGAGGTGCAAAATATGTTTCCGGTATTTTGGTTATGGACCAGCCTGGAGGACTTGAGGCCAGGTTTAGACCGCAGCTTAGGCTTGGTAGTTCAATTCTGTCAGTATATGCTTTTGGACTTATATGTCTGGTAGTGTCCCTATGAGTGGAGTTTATGGCTGGTGAGTGGTTGGATGGCTATATGATGAAGTATGATGTGACTGCTGGATGTATTCAGATGGTTTGAATTTGACACGATGAGTTTTCTTGGGATGTAAGAAGGACTATAGGGTGCTTGATTTCTGCCTTAATGTGTTGTATAGTCTCGAATAATGATCGTAATGTGGAATCTTTCATGTTGTTTAATTGTGGGGCGAAGTAGATTTTCATGTCAGACTTAGGAAGATTAAGTGATGGCGTAGTAGCTGTGGCTATGAAAGGGTATAGAGAGATGCCAGTTTGAGGCTAAGCAGTTGGGTTATAACCTACAGGGTGATCTATATGTGTGTGATCCTTATGATGTTGTGTGGAGGCTTTATTTTCTACCAGTGGGTTTTATTTGTGCGATTTGAGTTTGGATTGGCTGTAATAGTTGATCTACCCATCACGAGGACGAATGCGAGATTTGTAGATGATTTGAGGTATTATACGGTTTGTGTTACGTGAGGTTATGAAAGATTGAGTTGAATTTCGATGGGGGATCATGTCAGTAATAGAGTATGGGTATTATGAGTTATCAAGTGTTTGATTGATGGTTTTGAGCCAAGTGGGAGAGTCTGTTATCGACGATTTGATTGCACGGTTATGTGTTGTATTGGTTTCGGTCTGAGGCATACTTGTGAATCAGATATGACTTGCGGAGGTTGAGATTGAGGATGACTTGAGTAAAGGAATTTCTGGATACGGGTTATGTTACACTCTATTGGTATACAGGAATCATGGAATGATTGAGTTGTTATTCGCGAAGGATGTAGTACGCATGGAGTAGGAATTTGCTCGGTTGCTTAGAGGTGTGGATTACTTCATTGGGTGTCATCATGCTAATGGGGAACATGTAGTTCGGCCCGTTTGGGCGGTGCAATTGAGATTTATGCAGAGTGGATGACTCTCGAGAAGGTTCTAATGGATTCAAGAGTTATATGTAGCAATTGGGAATTTTTAGGATTTGTATATGGCTAGAATATGAGATTTACATTGGATGGTACCGAGACTCGTTGTATTTCTATATCATTACAGATTATACATTTCAGTATCAAGAAGGTGAAGGAAACGGCTTTAGATTCACAAGGTCTCTTTAGAGTGAGAGTCTTGGTTGTGGTTCTTTTTGGACGCTTAAGAGGGAATACAATGGCTTATTGGCCTTAGGGCGGTGTGGTTTTATGCTAGGATCTCTTGTGGTGAGACTTAGGTAAGGATCGTTGTGTTCTGGCAATGAGAAGTTTCAACTTGAGGGTAATTCAGAAGGAACTCAGAGAAAAAAAAAGGACAGCTTGGTAGTAGGTTGGATCGGCACGGTAATGGATATGATCGGTTCTTTGGGTACTTATGATGTGGTGGGTCTCTACAGGTGTTTTAGCGCAATACTATTGGGTTTGGCGACCTGCGTGGCTTGGTGGAGTTAGAGAAATTCAGTTCTGATGGCTTGGTTATGTGCAAATAGGTTTCGAAGTTTCTCGATGGCTTTTACCACTATTCGAGATGGATATTTCCTATTAACGTGAGGAGCAATTTGCGTATTGTGAATTTTTCCTAGATGAGATCAAATGGAAGGTTTCTGACTGACCGAAGGGTGATCTATATGTGTGTGATCCCTATGATGTTGTGTGGAGGCTTTATTTTCTACCAGTGGGTTTTATTTGTGCGATTTGAGTTGGAGCGTGAATTCATTTAAAAAGTACAAAAATCAAATCTATGAATAAAAGAAAAAAGGCAAAAAAAGAAAAAGGAGCCAAAATCCATCTTCCTCCCAAAGCACCCCAAAACCAGTCCGCTGCTACGGCCCCTAGCCCTCCTCCTCCCTTCCACCACTACCTATCAGAAATTGCACATCTTTCTTCCTCCAACCACCAAAATATTAAATTCAAGAAAATCCCAGAAAAGAAAATGAATAAAAATAATTTCTTTAGCGACCCTCTTTACACAAACACACTCGTCAAACCGTAACAAAAATGGGTGGATGGTGGTGGGATGGGAGACAACACGATAAATAGTAAATAAGAGAATGGAGATTTCTGAGATTAGGAGAAGAATCAAGCACCCCAGATCATAAAAACATTGGAATTTGGTGATTTTCAAAATTTTAATCATATTTCTTGTGTTCTTAACCAAGAGAAGCAAAGTTGTTTCGAATTTCATAGACAATAATGAAGAAAATTAAACAACAAAAGATACAAAAGAAAAATGAAAAGCTATATCTTTTTTTTAATCCTAGTCCCAAAGAACCCCAAGAACCAATTCGCAACTACTGCCTCCTGGGGAGTGAATTTGGGTTTTGAAGCAATTGTTTCGCATCGAACAAGATGAGGAATGAATTTGAGATGCGGTAAATTCGGGTTTTGAAGCGCTACTAGATTTTGTTAGAGATGGGTGAATTTGAGTTTCTTTTTTAAAAAGTTTTTTTTTTACAACAAAAAAAAAAAAGTCTTGGTAAAAATAAAAAATAATGTGGGATATTTTATTGTACGTGGGTATTAACATCAGGGCGTTTTACAGACACAGTCGGAAGGGTTTAAAGTAATCTATTAATATATAAAAGGAGAAGCAAATCCATGAAATTATGCCAAGTGTCAAAACGAAATATCAACACGTGTCATGTTTTAGGACAAAACTCCAATACTTTTGGAGATTCAAATTTTTATAAAATTAAAATGGAAAAAAGTTATAAAATTTTAAATAATTAACAAGTTCAGTTATTCCCATGTTTTTGGGCGGATACTTTTTAAAACTGAAAACTAAAAAAATAATTACTTCAATTCCAAAAGATGGACTCCTACGTTTTTCATTAGTTTTTATTTATTTTATTATAAACCTACATAGAAATAATAATAAAGCCAACAAAAAAAAAATACTCCACGATAGATCGTGTTCTCAAACATGGGCAACAATATCCTAAGCTAGCTCCTCCTTCATAAAAACGGAAAAGGTAAAAATGGTATAAAAAAAAATGAAACAAGACCCAGGTTCTGGACTATTCATCCGCACCCTCTCCCTCATAAATGATTCTCCTCCTATTTTTCTTAATCACGAACTTTGTTCAATGCGTGGGCTTGAAATTTCTGCAATTTCACATGTCCCGCTCAAGATATCCGTAGTGATTCTACATTCATGCACTCCAGAGTTCAATTATGAAGTAACATTTTGAATTGCTAAAAGTTCGTCGGCGACAACATTGTTAAACCATGATTATGGATTCGAAATCATCTGTTCACAATTTCATCCAGAAAAAGGTACTCTTTTTTTATTTGAAAAAGTGCAGGTTCTGCATTTCAAGTTTAATTAATTTACTTCTAAGTAGGTTTTGTTTGTTTTGTATTTTTTACGAGGAGGATCTGCGGGGTTCTTCTAATGTGATTGACGAAGGGATTTTATATTCAGTAATAAGGTAAGTTCTATTTTGTTTATTTTTCCCTTTATTTATTCAATTTGGGTATTATTCTTCTCATTCTATTAAATTTTATACTAGCAACTTTTTTGGATCTTCTTCTATTTCTTCCTTGGTGCTAATTCTTTGTATATCTGTTCGATTTCCTTTTCTTTTTCTTAAAGAAACTTCTTTCAGGCAATTCCTTGGCAAGAATAAAATCAAATTTTCTTTTCTGGTGTGCCTATGCTCCGTAGACTCCCGGTAATTGATTTTTCTTAACTTTTTTGCTTTGTTCATCATACACACACACAAAAACACACACACACACACACATATATATACATATATGTTCGTTTTTATGTATTTAATAGTGAGTCATTTTGGAAATGAAATAAATTTTTATTTTTGTTGACTAGAAAGATGATACATGTTCTGCCGTACAATAGTGGAGCAGAAATGCTCTGTTTGCAATATATGTTCTCATGATCTCCTATTAATGAAATTTTGATGTCTTTCAATGCATTATGATAGTGGGAGATTAAAGTCGAGTCTCAATCTAACTATATATGCATAGATGTAGGCACGTTAGATATAATTATATGCTTTAGCATTGCAGAATGTGCTCAATAGGATATAGTTGAAGCTTTACCCTCTTGTGGCCAAGCTCCTAAGACAAAAGATGAAAAATATGACATCTTTATGTTTGGAAATAATCTAACTGAGTTAGACCACAATCATAAACATGTTCGTTTCTCAATAAGCATGATCATTATTTTTATAGCTTGTATACCCCAATTTGCTTTGTTTTATAATTGCTTGAACAAATCACAATAGTGAAAGTCGACTGCCACAAATAAAAAGCTTTACAATTTAAGTCAGAAAGACATTGCACAACTCTTTGCTCCTTGACTTGCTGCTTACGAAACTTTATGCAATTAATTCTACAGCTTTGAAGATATGTTGACGAAGGAGCTTCTTTTTTTTAAGTATCCAATGCCACACATTGTTTAGAGGCAATCGACTTTGACTAGACCCCTTTCTGTAATTATTTTTTTGCATTGCTTTTTTCTTACATTATAAATTGTTCAAATAGCGGAGAAGCAAGCTTGGATGTCAGTTAGCTTCATTTTTTAAGTATCCAACGTCACACATTGTTTAGAGGTAATCGAATTGCTTTTTCCTGAAATTATACATTGTTCAAAAAGTGGAGAAGCAATCTTGGATGTCAGATAAAGAATTTGAAAGAAAGATACTGGATTAAATCCTATGTGCATTGTGAAATTTTAATTTAAGCGTCAACAGATCTGAAATTTGGTTCAGCATATGGGTGGAGAGGTTCAAATTGTTCACTTTGAATAAGTTTGAGATCTACTAAGTTTAATATCAACAAATTCTTGGCCTTCATATTAAAATTCCAATAAAGGGTAAACATTCTGAAATTGGATTGTGTATTGATCAAGTAGGTTCTATTAGCCTATTATTTAGAGAAATCTATGAAAATTCTTATGATTTTTTCTCAGTTCCGTTAACTAGATTATGGCACCACAAAATTTGAAATAAACCAACAACTTCTTTAACATCTCAACAGTACCACTTTTTTAAAAAAAAAAATTCACATTATCATTTAATATCTCTGATTGCTAAAATTATTGTACTACACGGCAACAAACTCCTACGAGGTAATTTTTAAAGCATTTCTTTAGGACAAATATAAAGTCGACACAAAAAGTCATCGATATTCAACTGTTTCGTAGGCCATACATAGTTCTCTTATCTTGGTATTTTGTTCTTTGAGATCTGAAATGAAAGATTTAGGATAAGTTCCTTTTGATGTCTAACAGAGTGCCGACTTAGTATTAATCTTCTTCGATAATTTGCAACCATAATGGTCTCTTTAGTCTTTTATTAATCATAAAAACCATTCTATTAAAACACATGACACAATTTTATCAGTTAATAAATTTGGTGCATTTGGTCAGTAGTTATCATTCATATCTCTCTGTATTTTTTTTGTTTTTTTTGTTAGAGGCCTTTTCACACTTTTCAGTATTTATTCTCGACTTGAAGGTACACATGATGAGCTCATAAAGTTATGTATTGTTGAAGTCGCAACTAAAGAGCAAGAAGCTCATTTAATTAGAATTTCCTCAACTCAGGTAATATCTAATGCTCTCTTTGTTGATACTGGTTGCTTTCAATATACTATCTTGACAAAACATCTTAAAATATTTTAATTGTTCCCAACATTGTCCCATGCGCCTTAACATTTGCAACTTTGAAAGTTGCTTCCATTGATCCTGCTAGGCTAATGACAATTGAAAGCCCTGCCCAAAATCCATTTTTCTTTCTATAGATTTATCCAAAAAATTAGCAATGGCTAATGTGAGAGAGAACATTTGAAAGCTGTCATGAACCTTTTGTTATTTTTGGTTAATGACAAGTAGCTGCTTCATGTTTTCCTCAATAGTATGTCTTGATGATATTCAAATACATGTCTCTCTTTAATATACACACAAGTGATCTTTCTCAACATCATATTCAAATACATGTCTCTCTTTAATTTAATAACATCAATTGGTGCATTGGATCTGAAGAAATTCTATACCATGTTACTATTTACATATTCCTTTGTCCTTTAAAGACTCTTGGTGAAAACCAGTCGTTTGAGGTTCGATGTGTGCCTTAGATATGTGGCATTGATATCTCTTTGTGAAACGTGTGCTTTAAGCACCATAATAGGCTGATTGAAAATGCACGTTTGTTTTCGTGCATCTACTTTTCTCTCGCAAGCTTATACAGTCCATTAGAAACACTTGCTTAACATTTTCAAACTGATAAGTTTGTCAAGTCCTTATCCTTAAAGGAAAAACATGACAAATCTTACAGCTTTTGGCATATAGTAGTAGCACAAAATATGAGACAATTATATATTTGGAGAAAGTATGCAAAAACTTTAGGACAAGAGTAAAATTAGCTTTAGTACAATATTCATTCAACAAAGTTGGTATGTATTTTGATTTCCTTTATGTTAAAATAAAGTTGTATTGATTTAAAAAATTTCTGATACCCTTTAGTTGGCATAAGTCGAAAACACTTCTATTTCATTTCTTGATCTTGAGAAGCATGAGACATCCATTACGTGATGGTCAAGAGCAAGAACTAGAACTGTCAAAGTAAATTTGGATCACGTCAATTCTATAAGTAATTAATTTCACTAACATTTTTGTTTCTTCATGCAGATAGGCCAAGGTTTTCTTAAGAATGGTAAAGCCCAAAAATTTGCTTTATAGTATTGGCTAGAAGTATGCATGCTATCTGTCTTGATTTTCTCTTTGTTTGAAACACACGATATGTTCGATTATGTATATAAATATGAAGAGCAACAAGACCCAACATATTCAACGAAACGATGAATAACAAAATCAGATTTCTTTCATGCTCCTTTGTGTCCACCGTATTGTTCAAGTAAAATTTTCTTCTTTTTATTTTTATTCTCCGCACAACGGGCGGGTACAAACACTAGTGTATTTCAACAAGTATAGATATTCACTTGACAAACTGTAGAGTATGGGATGACAAACGCAAACAACTACATATGTCTACCGGACTATTCTGCCTATTTAAATTTAGGCAATTAACTGTAGTACTACATATTAATTAGAGTAAAATATGATCTGAAGAACAGTAATTTATAATACACCCGTGATTCTCCATCATTTAATATAACTTGACTCTCTTAATCATCGAATTATTTTATGAACATATAACAGTACAATTCTCCACACTTGTATCAAACGGTCAAGACTTGAAGGAGCAGGTGGAATATCTACCTATGAGCTAATAAGGTCGCGTTTTGACTGCTCCATGGGAAATCAATTAATAAACTAAATTTAATTATTGTTTTAAATTCTCTGCATTATGATATTAATTATTGTAATATAGATATATAACATCGTTATTCTCTTGTCCTGAGAAATAGTTCTTGTTTTGTTTGTATTCATAGCAGTTGAACTCCCTATTGATATTATTCAAAATTGGCTCCCAAGTAAGGACTGTCTATTTTGCTGGGAATGTGGGACTTGATTCCAGAACTGTGTCCCACTTTGGTAACTATTTGCCTAAGTTCCTATGCGGGATGATAATAGCCGTAAAAATTATTGTGTATGCATTTTTGAATTTGCTATCTTGTTCTATTTCAACTTTTATATTTATATCAGCTAATTAATTTGTGTACGTATTATCATTTCCTTTTACATTGGATAAATGCAAAGTTGATAACATATTAAAAATTTGGGTCAAATTTTGTCGGGTTGAGCTATGTCCCATTGTTTAGCCCATCTTGCCCAAATCCATTTTGATCCAAGTGAACTTTAGGTTGGATTGAGCATTGACCCATTTATTAGTTCACCCCATTTTGACCAGCCTAAACTCAGCCCAAACAGCCTATTTGTTATTCCTACTATCAACATCTAATTTCAACATTCTTCATCTTCTTAGTTTTGCACACACACATCCCCTCCTACACCCCTCCTCCTTTATTTTTAATGAAGATTTTTTCATTTATAGCATGGTTAGCCAAACTTCTAAAATTATTTTGCGGATATTGGAGCGCTTACATCAATCAAGGTGATCTATTGTGATGATAATCTCAAGGCTTCAGCTTTGGAGATTAAGGAAGAAGTAGAAGAAACTTCAGGATGTGACAATCTCAAGGTCTATATTTTTCCACATTACTCTAGGTATGTCTTTCTTTTTACTTTTTAATTTTTTTCCTGATAATTCAATTTATGAGTTTAATTCATTATGTTATAGTTGTTATAACTGCAGAATATGTTTATATCTTTATGTTATGTACACTAATCCAAACATATCGTTATTGTTGTTAAAAAAAGGGAACAAAAAGAAAAAGAAGAGGAATATGAAGAGGAAGAGAAAGAAGTAGAAGAAGAAGCAGTATCAGAAGTAGAAGCAGAAGAAAAAGACACAGGAGAAGAAGAAGCAGCAACTGCAAAAGGAAAAGCAGAAGAAGATACAAAAGAAGCAGCAACAGCACCAGAAGTAGAAGCAGAAGAAAAAGAGAAGGGAGAAGAAGAAGAAGCGGCAGAAGTAGAAGTAGCAGTAGGGGCAGAAGTAGAAGCAGAAGAAAAAGAGAAAGGAGAAGAAGAAGCAGAAGAAGATAAAAAAGAAGAAGCAGAAGAAAAAGATAAGGGAGAAGAAGAAGAAGCAGCGGCAGCGGCAGAAGTAGAAGCAGAAGAAAAAGAAAAAGAAGAAGAAGAAGCAGAACTAAAAGCAGAAGAAAAAGAGAAGGGAGAAGAAGAAGCAGCAACAGCAAGAGTAGAAGTAGAAGCAGAAGCAGAAAAGAAAGAGGATGAAGAAGAAGAGGAGGAGGAGGAGGAGGAGAAGGAAGAAGATGACAAAGTTACAGAGCTATCAGTGTCATCATTTAAGACTTTCAATCTTGGTTTTACGCTTTTCCTTTTTCTTCTCTTATTCTTTTAGTCGCATAAATATAAGAAATAGTCCACATAACTTACTTATTAAGAAATCTAGAAATTATAAAAGTTGTTAAGACATTTTTCCCATTCATGTTTATTCTCTGTAAAGCACCGTAACATTTTGAGCTAATTTTGCAACACGAGGTGGATCCTGGTTTGGCCTTGAATAGACCCCTACTTTGGTAGAATATAGGCTACTATATTTAAAGCAATGGATTGCCATAGCTTGTACATTGTAAAGACATTCTTGAATATTACTACTAATCTAGTGCTGAAGCTTCCATGAAGGTTTGTGTACCCCATCCATCATGTCAATTATGATCTTTGAGTTCATCTCCAGTATGACTTGTGCCATGTTGTTAGTGTAGTAGTTGATCTTTTCTGAGAAGGCAAGCACCATTAATCCACCTTCCCTTCTGATTATGCCTCTCGCTCCTGCTTGCTTCCCTATGTAATGAAAATAGGAAGGATCTTGCGTAAGGTAGCTTGCATAGAACTGTTGTACTGATGCACCCACCAGCTCCAAGAAGGGTTCTAATCTTGATAGAATCCAACCTGATGCCCATAGCATTTGCAGAGTAGGTCCACACTCTCTTAATTGTCACATTTTCAATCAGTAAGTGCATTTGAAAATAATATTTTGACTAAATCTAGATAAAGTGAAGTTTTTTCTTCAGAATCCTCCAACCGAGGAAAGCTTTAAAAGGAATTCCTTTGTGCCATAGCCTAGAAAAGGTGTCATTTTTATTTTTCTGTCCAATCTCTCTAGCAGAAGAACAAATGAACTACCCATCAGAACTAAATCCCAATCATTGATTGTCTGCATAAGTGCGAGAGATATGAATCTGTTCTATGTGACTTTGCATTTAGGATGGACTATCTTAGACAATTTGTTGGAGTTCCATCTACTGTCCTGAGTGCATTCCTTGACCTTAATCTCTCCTGATCTATCTCCAGGTTGTAGTACAAGAGCTAAAGGACCAAGTCCTGTCCAGTTGTGCCGCCAAAACAATAAATTTCCTTTATTAACTTTCCATATCATATATGGCTAAGCCTTCTTCCTACTATCCAGCAGCTTTTTGCAGCTCTATGATTGAGTAGTGCTCCATTTCTATCAATGATATTGGTTCTTAGCCAGTACTTTACCATGATGAATGAAGCCCGTAGACTATGGCGAGTCCTCAGTCTACACCATCCTTTCTTAGCAAATAGCCTTGTATCTTAGAAAGGGAATCAAATCCAACTCCCGCCTCATCCTTAAGGTAGTATAATTTGTTCCATGAGCTCGAATGGTACTTATTATTTTCCTCATCTTCTCCCCAAAATAACTTTGCTAAGTATTTTTTTCATATGGTTTAAAACAATTTTTGGAGGAGAGATAGCAGCCAATAAGCAGGGGCAGAGTCATGGGAAGCGGTGTCACATGACATCGCTTCGTTGGAAATTTTTAATAAGTATATGTATGTAGATAAGCAAAACCAAGTTATTTCACGTAAAATTGAATAAATGACACCATTTGAGAAAATAAGCACTTAGTGATTGCTAGTTAGACGCTACAAATTTTGACTAGAGGTCCAGAGTTTAAACCGTGCTAAGAACAAGCTTATGTTTTTATCATTTTGGAGACTTTCCTTATTAAGAAATAATTATGTTTTAGTGAGGCTTGAACCACTGACTTCTAATTGCCTTATTCCCTTCTATCCATACACCATCTTTATTCTTGATCCTGTGAAGTGTGGGTCTCTTTCCCTTATGCTTGATAATACCATTAAAGTATTTGGTATAGGAGTCACCCTCCTCACTCCGCTAGATATTAGCCTTTTGTTGAAGCAAATTGTCCTGAATGCCTAGTGTATTCATTAGTCAGTTTGTTTAGCTCCTGTCTATTATGATGATTGCTACTAGTATCCATCCTCTGTTCTTGCTTCAAAATCAATTCCTCAAACTGTACATTTTCAAAGATGTCTCCAATAGTATCCCTAAACCATGGACTCTATTCTTGTAATGACCCATCAGTTGTTTTGTGTAATTGCGCCATGTTACCCCTTTTTATGCTTCACACATGTCTATTTGTGATTTTACGACTTGCGAAATTGGTTAGTTTTGTTCCGGAAAGCTTTTGGGTTGGTTCGGATGTATACGGTCAAAATCAGGGGAGGTCGATTTTAAGGCTTCTATGGCATTTCAAGCCCGGCCTCGGTGGGATCGAAGCATAGTCCAAGGCTCGTCCCCGAAACACTCGCCTCGGCAGGGTATATCGAAGACTCATCATGGCGTGCCTCGAGGCAGCATGAAAATCCACGACCATCATGGAAAGGCAGGAAACCCCCGAGAGCACGTAATGAGGACTAATAGAGTCTGCGAGAAATAGTACAAATTCGTACTAAGCCATCATACAGTTGTACCAGTAGCATTTCCATGTCATTGTTAGACTTGTACCACGTTGGGATTCCCCCTCCTCCTATATAAAGGGGACCCTTGTCATTTTGTAACGACACGATATATTGAATTCAATACAACATTCTCTGCTCTCATCGCTAAAACAACTATTCTATACATTTATCGCTTATTCTCTCATTGTTCATTCATTGTTCATTTACTGTTCTTTATTTATTGCTCATTATTAACCGCAAAAAGCTATCTTTGAGGCCTCCATTATCATTGTTTCTCCATTAATTGTTCATTATTAACTACCCTAGCTGGACCTCGAAGCCCCTGTACCAGTCAGCTCGAGGCTCGGCGTTGTCACAGCTTTGGAATTGTATATCTTATTCTCTTTACTTACATTCAGTATCTATTGCCTAACAACTAGCATTGAAATAAATTGCATATTTTTAGAA